CAAATTCAGCTGTGATATTTGCTGGTGTCCTTAGGCATGATCGTTGATCTTTTCTGACCCTCAGTTTCCTTGTCTGACAGTGGCGGTAGTAAGAACACCTACTACTTGGAGGTGGTTGGGAAGATTAAATGAGGGAATGTATTAAAGTGTACTGGTATTCTGTCCTAGCAGATCTGAAGAAGCGATTATTTCAAAGTGTACTTCTGCAGGCTTTAGGGGTGGGTTTTTTCCCGAGGTCATACATTTTTAAAGCACGTAAACTGTTGCGTGGAAAAATGTTTTAATGGAAAACCTTGGACAATTAGAGAGGACGTGCCAGTGTGTTTATTCAGTGTAAGCAGTTTTTATACATTTGTTACTATAATATGGCATATGAGAATTGTGTTTACTGATCTCTATTCAGAACCCACTTGGTAGATTACTGAAAACAAACGGATGTGCTGTCCTCCTGGAGGATCACTGCTCTCTTGCCTCTTAGTATTATTTGAGAATTATTCATGACTATGTAAATATGGTTTTGAAGATTGTTTACTTGGATGCATTTCTTTTAACTTCTTTTTAAACTTACACATAAATGTCAGTAGTGCTGCCTCCATAGTAGGAGATCCTTAAGACACAAACTGCTGTAAAATGCTTTTAGTTGCAGAGAAAGCCTTCTGCAGGGTTCAGAATGATGCAACAACTTGTAAAAGAAATCTTTTCCAATTTTCTAGGTTTCTGTAAATAAACAAATTGCTCAATTATAAAACGTTATGATGGAAAGTGTGTTTAAGAAACATTAGTGCATGCAGAGGCGGAACTACACAAAAGAGCTGTAGTACATTTCATGCCCTAGTTCAACGTATTGCACAAGTCCTGTTTTCTGGAGCTGGTTAAACAGAACATCTTTCTCTTTCTATTCTGAGCTTCTGTCCCCGCCTTCTCAAACCACTTCAATGGCACAATAAATGGAAATCTTATTTCTTGCCTCTGCAGACCTATTTACCTGAATGTCTGAGCTTACCCTTGCCTTTCTCTGGTCTATACTTTTTAGAATAGGCTTTTACTTTCATGTTCCTGCCTTCGTTGCCCTCATTTTAAAAGCTTTCCCTAATCCTTCACTCCATGTACTTTAGTCTGTAATGTTGGGCTTCACCATTCTGCATGGCCACCTTTAAGCATTCATCTCTCAGATTTATGTTTCCTTCTGTTGTGAGTTTAAATCCTTTTCATACTCTGTAATACTGAAAAAAAAAGATTAAAATAAGATTCTTTTATTGAAAACTGTTTCTGCTGATTTCAAATGTCTCATTGGATGGCTTTATCCTCTATGATTCCATTATTTTTGCAAACTGTGACTTTGATTCTTACCCTTTTGTGTGTATATTTTAATTTTTACTTATTACATACATGAAAGATCTTAGAAAAGTCTGTCTTCATATACATGCATATGCATGTTTGAATGAATACTACGGTATATAATTTGCAAAGCCTAAAATATTTATTATTAAGGCAAAATGTGTTTACCCCTTGTATACTTAACACGTTTAGAATGTGCATCATTTGGGGATGTGTTTTCTCCAAAGTTCTTACATGGGTGGAGTATTAGTATGTTAGAGTCTAGGCAGCTGGTTGGGGGGAGTTCCCAGCCCCCATTCCTTCTGGTTAATAACCAGATCCCAGCTTGTTGTCTATGACATGGTTGGATTGGACTGGGTACTCTCTCAGATGAGAGCATGTTGGGGTAGATGTGACTGTGTGTGTAAATGCTCCATGGGAAATGCCTGCCTATGAGCAGGAGGAGGCCTGGTGAATTGCTTGCCATTGATAGTGAGGTTTTCATGTCCTGGTAAGGAGTCATTGTCCTGTTGGCCTGAGCATTTCTGCTGCAGCAGTAGGAGTGATTGAAGTGTGCTCCCCATCACTTAATTGAGGTAGGGAATAAAATAGGTCACAGTTAAAAGAAAACAATATGTATTCAAGGCTGAAAGAAATGTGCCAGCCCCGCTGGTTATTGCAGTGAAACGTCTTTAATTCCTCTTAAACCTCTAAGCATCTGCAGAGGAAAGTTAAATCAACCGGAGAATTTCTGGTGTCATGTTGCCCAGAACCAGTATCCTATTGTTTCTGTGGATGCCCCCAAGAGATTTTTACTTTCTGCTTCTGGCGTCAAGGGATTCTCTGGGCTTTCCTTGACCTTAACTTCTTGTCCTGTAGCAGTTAAGGGTAAAGCTGCAGGCTCCTGAGTGCTGTCTCCAGCTTCCCAGCTGCTGGATCATCCACTTTGTGCTTTGCCCCTTTTCTTCGTCCCTAAAACTCTCCCTGCTCTGTGCCTGTCTAATAAAAGGAAGCTGGAAGTTTAATTGTTTCTGGAAAACCAAACAGAACAGGGTGTTTGGGACAGATACAATGGTGAGATGGCAAGATGAAGCTGAAATAGAAACCCCTTCTCCCAAATCCCATCTCTAAGTCTCATTTTTATTGCAACCTGCATAAAATTAAAGTGCAAGAGACCAGCTGCTCCAAAGGCTGAAGGTCCTCATGGCTACAGTATGCTTTGGAAACTTATCCCCACCAGATCTGTAGTTAATGAAAATATTTGCTTTGCTTGATATAAATAGAGTTTATGGGCAGAATTTGTAATTGGGAAATGTTTTTAAATCTTTACCCTTCAAACTCTAATTTCTCTTGTATTGTGTTAATTCTTAAGAAAAGAAACATTTGTCAATAATGAGCTTTACATTTTAAATTTCTGGTGGTATTATTTGTACCTTCTCTCTTTATTTGTGTTTTTATCCAAATTAAGGGACTTGAAGTCTTGAGTTTTTACTTACATGTAGGTCAGGGAGTCTTCTGAGTAGATAAGGACAGTGCCTTGTGGCCTTTCAGGCTATCCTATAGTCATTTGACAACCCTGGTCTGTGACTTATTAGATAATAGGACAGCAATGTAGCTCTCTTTAGACACTTTTTGAAGGTCCTGGCCACATCCTGATGTGGGACTGTACCTGGGACTGTCTGTATGCTGTGCCTTAGCTTTCCAAGTTCTCTAGCATTTTTTGCATAATCATCCATGATCCATTGTTTGTCTCCAAACATTTCTTGCGTAAATCATCCATGGATTGGGTGATTTTGCCTCTGTGTCTCTGTTGTTACAAATGTAGTACAAACTTGCATATTTTAAGTTTTTATTTATTTATTCATTTTTGAGACAGTCTTGCTAGGTTGGCCTCAAGTAGTTGAGATTACAAGTGCATGCCACGATGACTACTTCTGTCTGTATTCTTTGCATGAGAGCCAAGTTATGGGGGGGACTGGTCATGAGAACAAGGTATTGGACCAGAGGAAAACACCTTTCTGTTTGTCTCAGGTGTCTCTTCTGAGCAGTTGACATCTAGCACCAGTGGGAATTGTTGGTATGGTATAGCCCCAGCTCTGCCTGGAGATCTGTTTCATTGCCATTCAAAGGAACAGTCAGAAAGCTTTGTGCATTTAGTGTTAGCAAAAGCTCAGGCTAGTGCCTGTGGTCCTGAAGTTGTGATAGTGGTGTCTTACTGAGGGATTGGGGGAAGGTTACAGAAGTGCAGCAGGGGGTCATTCCTATCTACATAGACTATACTAACTCTGCCTGCTTCTCTCCTTTGGGATTGAACTCCCTCTTGGGCATTTGCCATGAATGTCCTTATTTCTGTAATCCAGTGAAGATTTTCTAATAATTCTGACTGTTCATTCAAAGGTCACTCACTTGGGCAATTGCTGATAAATGTTTAGTTTCCCAAGTCTGTCTAAACCCCTTAAAGCATATTTGGCCAAGATAAAACTGAAATTAGCTTTTTCTGACTTTGTCAGCTTGCCCATTGCAGACCTTAAGGCTTTTCTGTTCCACAGATCTGCTGATTGTGAGTTGCCTTTGAAAGTGAGGCATGAGCACGACCCCCCTAACCCGAAACTCTGTGGTGGTGGTGACTCTCTTCTCCATGACTCTTGACACACAAAAAAGCACAGCGGTGCAGTTTGGAACTTGATAGTTTTGGGTCACATTCCTTTTTGTGAGCCATGGGTGGGAGGGAGTTCCTACCTATCTAGATTGCACACTTGCTTGCTGTTTTTCAAAGATTGAGTACTTGAATTTTTGAGTGAGGAAGGCCTGGCAAGGACCATTTAAATGGTGTTTGTCAGACTGATTTTGCTCCTAGCAAACATATGCATATCTTTCCAATTCTATTGTGTATAATTTAGAGCCTAAAGGTGCTTTGTAATCTGCAGGGTGATGATTTATGTTTCCCTATACTTCCTCAGTTGTTTCTTCATACATACCGAGGGAATGTGATTGGGGGAAGGAGCTATAGGAGGAAAGCATATTATCTGAGTACTTGAGGATTTTCTGTGTGTGGAGGGGGTGGCTGGTCCCAGCCAAGATCATCTCTTCTTTCTACACTGTAACTGCATCTTCTCTATTTTTGGAGAATATGCCTACTCTAGACTATTTAATTTCATAATAGTAAGCTTTTTGTCCCCAAGGTCATTTAGGGGTTAAGCACCCAGAATATCTGCTCAGTGATGGTTTGGGGCTGATTGAGGGTAACAGGGTGGGCCCTGTTATATGGGACATGTGGAGCAGAGGGAATGGGAAAGCAGAAGAATAGTGCTGGGGAGGAGCTTGGCTGGGGAGGGGAGCGGTAAGAATCCTGGGAGTTCTATGACAGCTCCTGGCTTAGACTCTGTTCCCCTGGTACCACAGAAACCTAATAATCCTCTCCTTTACTTTAGCTGAACTCAGAGCTTCTTGTAGATCATGTATACTTAATTTTGATTTAATCTCATACTTGAGTAGTAGAGTTTGAATTTTTCTCACACAGAACAATATCATCAACAGATTTAAGAGTGGTGGGGAAAAATCATTTGAAAGAAATTCAATATATCTAATATGTGAGAATCTCCTAAGAATATGGTTCCCAGGAAATAAGTTTACATCAATCTGTAATGAATGGTATAGCCTAAGATACTATTTTTCCACTACAGGAAGTGATTTCCCTCTGGAGACTTCTTCAGTCCTGCCCCCTGGTCATGGTGGTGACACTTCTGTGAGCAGTCTTCCTACAACAGAAGATACCTATCGGGTGAACTTGGCCAAAGGTGTCTCCATGTCTCTGCCTTCATCACCCTTGCTGCCTCGACAGTCCAATTTGGTACAATCAAGATCAAACAAAAAATCCCCAGGTAAACAAAGCAATGCAGTTCATGGTATCCACATGAACTGTCTTAATGCATGTGCTGAAATTCAGCAAAATGAATGCCTGTAGGAAGTCTTTGAGAGGGGATATTTTTTCATTGTTATAGCATTTGTGAGAAGGAATCTGGCTTGTTTGTTTTGGTACTGGGGATCAAACTTACGACTGCATGCTTGCAAGGCTGAGCTAAATCCCTGGCAGGAATCTGTTTTTTTGAGAAAGGGTCTTACTATATAGTCCAGGCTGGCTTGACCTTGCTGATTGGCCTTGAACACATGATTTTCTTGCTAAGGCCTCCCAAATGCTGGAATTACAGGTATAAGCCACGGCAAGCAGGAATGTCTTTTAAAAGTACAGTTTTAAACAGATTATTTTTCAAGTTTAACTTTCATATATATTATTTGGATTTCTTAGACTCCACTTTTACAAAGATTCAAAGTCTTATTATTTGTGCTTATAATTCATACTTGTTATTCGTTTCATTAGTTTTGTCGGTTTCTAGTTGATGAATTAAGCATTGTGGACTAAGCTCTCATTAAGGGTTTAGACGTAGGTAAGTGACTTGTGTTCATTACTACCAAAAGGTACTAATGTATTTTATTTGGTTATATCATCCCATGTGTGAACAGCTATAAAATTATTGCTTGTGAAAACTCAGAGTTATAAAGGGACTTACAGATTACTTGTATGCTTAACTCTGAGAGGTTATAATTTCGATGTGAGAAAAGTCTATTCTAAATGCTCATGCCTTGTATCATAATAGTTCTTTGATATTCTTTTAGGTTTGTTGAGCATTTACTTACAAAAAGCAGGAAAATTGTAGGTTTTATTGTTCATGGGCCAATGCAAAGATTCTCCTCAATTACATGCAAACATATTCAAAATTCATCTAAATGTGCCCTAAGGCTATGAAATTAATTACTTATTGTTTTCTTGAATATTTCTTGAAATGACACATTATTTCTGAATCATTAAGTGGATGTTTGAGGTTCATGTGGGGCTAAAATTAGGGCAAACCTTAAGTTTTTGAATTTTTAGAAATGGTGCTATGAATTTGGTGAGTGTCCAAAATCTCTTATTGTTCTAGACTTTTCTTATTTTGAACAACATTGTTTATAGTCCGGTCATTAGCTGGAACTTGGAAACCTTTTTGGTATGAAGTGATTTCCTGTGCCAAGGAATTTGACCTGTTTATCAGTATTTGGGGAAATTCCTGGAATATCCTTGCTTCCCCCTTTGCCCTTCCCACTGCTATATCTCTATGTCAGATGTCTTTTTCTCCCTTTAAATTTTAGTTCCCACACCGCCTCTCTTGCTAGGTTACTCTGGTTGGAAATATTCTATTTTCTGAAAACTTTACACAGCATCTTACCTTTTCTTTATTGTCAGCTAAGTCATTTGCCCCTTTTCACTGCCAAATTTTGTCAGACTCATGAATTTTCTCCCAGGCCCATCTGTGCATTCCCTTGTAAAACCTATTTTCAGCAAAGACACCTACTAAGTTACTTTAGCAAGAAGCCCTTTCTCCAAATCTTACCAGTTTCCTCATCTTCCAGCATCCCTCAGGGGATGTCGGATCACCCTGGCCTGTCTTTAATAAGACTCTTATTTGGCCAAAATTTACTCCTGAGGTTTCCTCTTCGTAATTTTTCGTTTACTGACCCCCGACTTGCTCCCTGGCTATAAATTTCCCTTTTGCCATGCTTTATTCAGGCTTGAGCCCAGTCCCCTCCCTAGCTGCAAAATTACACTGCAGTGGTGCCAGAATCTACACCTGCATGAAGTGTGAGTTGCTGTGCTTTCCCAAGAATCACTGAACAGTTCATTCTTTTGATACTGCTGCATATGTGCTTTCTGTAACTGATTGTATAAGACAGGCAGGATGTCTTACTAAAGTATACCTTATCTATGTAAAATAGAGAATTTGAGAACCTCCCTTTGGAATGTCAGTAAAAGGCAATGCCATGAGCTGAGATTTGACATTTTACACGAACTTCCCTGTTGTCTGTACCATTGCAAATGAATTGACATTGTTTGAGCCTTCAGATGTGGAAATACCTGAGACTCCAGGAAATATGGCATTTCAACTATAATTCCATTATTAATAACAAGACTTCATTTTTGAGAGATTTTGGATAGCAGTGAATGGCTTGGCAAGCCTTGGAAGGTTGTCTGTCCAACAGGGTTTCTTGGGAAGAGAAATCCTGAGGCATATCTCCTTATGTTCCTGGACCAATATTAGATTTTTGTTTTGGGTATTAAGGATCAAACTCGCAACCTTGCGCTTGCCAGGCAGGTGCTTGTGCTGCTGAGCTAAATCCCTGGTCCCAATGTTAAGATATTTTTGGTTTTGAGAAAATGACCTAAAGTTTTTCTCTATAGAAGTGAATTTTATATCTGCTAATTCTTCAACCTTATGAATAGAAGAGCTTAGTGTTTCTGTATCATTCAACTTTTATGGATTGAAGAAAATACCTTTTATCTTAGACGTTTTTCATGTAAGTGTTAATGACATAAACTAAGATATATTTCTAATAGAGCAGTTATGTGCTGTTCAAATTTGTGCCACAAATTATAGTGTTGCACAGTGACGATCTAGCTTCATTATCTGGATAATTTTAATTTGAAAAGAAAAGTGAAGGGCAAATATGTTGGTTAAAAGTGGCACTGACTCAGAATACATTAAATGATGAACAATATTTTTTCTACAGTGTCTTTAACACATACATTTCTGCTTAAACCATGTTGTTAGAAAATATCTAACACCCTAATGTTGTACCTGCCTGTTTTTTTTTTTTTTTTTTTTTTTGGTCTTGTTCCTTTTTATCGATACCAGGGATTGAACTCACGACTGCCTGCTTGCAAGGCAAGCGCTTATGCGGCTCAGCTAAATCTCCAACCCCTATACCTGCCTATTTAAAGAAAGGAAAAGTTGATTTATGGCTGCAAACATGCATTGGATTAAAAAATACTCGTCTATTTTAGAAGCTAACACTGTGCTACTAATCTGCGACTGCAGCTCCCAGAAGGCATTGAGCCAGCCCTGCTCTACCAGGGTGCTTCAGGTCCTATCATTCCCTAAGTAGGGGCTGGGGATTTAGTTCAGCGGCATAAGCGACTGCCTGCAGGCAGTTGTGAGTTCGATCCCTGGTACCGATAAAAAAGAAAGAAAGAAAGAAAGGTTTTGTTCTGATTTGGAAGATTAGACCTCTTTCTCTCTTTCTTACTTAAGAAGGTGCTTTAAAAACCCCACCAAACTCGTTTTACTTGTTTGGGTAAAAACCCATTACTAATTGTTGCTAATCAAGAAACTGTCAAAAACTTGAAACTATTATCCAAGAAAGGATCAAATACTCTAAACCCTTCTCCAGTGAAAATTTCTTTTAATACAATTGGTGATTAGGTCCTGGGTCTTGGAAATCTAGGCAAGAGATTAATCTTGCATTAATGTGACCCTGCATTTTACATAATTTTCATAACTTTATATCGAGTTGCTTTTGCAATTTTTATAACTTTACCAGAGTTTTTATTTACCGTCCTGCCATCTTGTTCCATTTATATGTACTTTTTCCCCCATTGTTGATTGGAAGATTCTGTTTTCTGATTATTTGAAAATTTTTGGTGTTTTTCAAAGTGGAATATCCGTTTTCTGGTTGTGAAAACAAGGACCAGCATCCATTATAGTAGTTCGGTGGCTGTTGTAAGCCTTTTGGATTAAGACTTCATCAGTAATGTATTTGTAATGTATTCTTTTGCCTTCTAGAGATGAGAAAAGCTTGTTTCCTGTGGCTTATTAGTGACATCATTAGTTATTTTATATTTACATTGTTTTTCCTGAATCACTTTGGACCCATTATGAGACAATCAAAAAGATTGTGCATGAATGAGAAACAGCCTTTTGAAATACAGAGATGGATACAGCAAAAAAAATGGTGACAGCTGAATGATAAAGGTTGAACATCCCTAGTGTGGAAATCTGAAATTCTCCATAATTTGACATTTCTTGAGTACTGATGCGGTGTCTCAAGTTGAAAATTTTATATCTAACATTGATACAGGGGAATGAAACTCCTGACCTACTATGTCTGTTACGAGTTCGTGTTCTCCAAAACTGAAGAATGAATTTTAGGAAAAGGGAGGTTAAGAGCAGAATATATTTATTGAGAGAAAGAAAGCTTCTGTCTGAAGAGAGACAGAAGCAATCCCGAGCAGGTTGCCAAGGACTGTCTTTTCCAGGGGCTTAAGAGCAAAATAATGGGGTGAGATAGGTTCCAGGTGGGGGAAAACTGGGAACTCACAAAGCAGATGGGCATAAGGCGGAACATAACTATAGTTAGCCAATAAGATGAATAGTTTAGGTAAAGTTGATTAAATTGGGGACAAATGGGAAAGTGAGTCACATACAAAGTGGGCATTCTTAGAGAGCTGTGACTCTTCCCTAGAGGTTCAGAATGGTACTCCTGGCTTCCTCAGGGTGATAGGGAACTATTTAGAATATCAGTTCCTCAGCATATGGGTGCGTTTGTTTGGTCTTTTGTCTTGAGACCTGGCCCACAGCAGGTAGTGTCTGTCTCCCCTGAAGTTGCCAGGTATCTGGACTTCTGCATTGGCTCCTTTGAGGACCTAGCTCTGTCTCACTGCCTATAATATTTCTAACTAACTTAGTTGCCTGCAACAACACCATGTAATGGATCATAGTTAAAACATAGTTACACTAAAAAATATTGTATAAAGTTGCCATTAGGCTATACATATAAGACACATATGAAACAAAAATTTTGCATATAGGCTTGAGTCTTACCTCCTTGGCATTTTATGTGTATATAGATATTCCAAAGCCAAAACGCTTCAGGTTCCAAGCATCCAGAATAAAAGATCATCATAGTACCTGGCTCTTCTCTTTATACTGACTTGTGTGGGCAGACTGGAGGTGCCATCCATTTCTACTTCTTCTTAGTTTCAGTTTTAGCTCACAGTTGACATAGCTCA